GAGCTCCAACCGGACTCTAATTTTTGGAGTCCGGCTGCAAAATCGGAAGATGGGCTGCATATTTGGAGTTTTATCCTCCAAATATGCAGCCCCTCCATTTTACTATTCCCCCTCATAAAATTTACATTTTACCCTTCTAACTAACTAATTATTTTTAGATATTCAACTTAAAATCAACATAAGTTTATTTCTACTAATTATTTTTAAATAAAAGTTTTACAGTTGGAAATGTTTTGTCGATACCTTCAAAATGAGACTAATATTGAATAATATTAATTGAAATATAAAATTTCAAGAACCAAGTAATTAAAAATGAAAAAGTCATTATTTCATTAGTAAAATAAGTTACATAGCTTCATTTCCATGTCTTTCCCACAAATGTTCAATCAATGCATTTCGAAGTGCAAAATGAGCTTCTTTGTTTTTCAACCTCTTATGTCGAGCAATAAACCATTGGAATCATTCAGTTTCCGTTATCTCCATATTTTCAGCATTCGGAATTGATTGTGGAGTTGAAATGACATCTTGCTCGTCGCGTTCATCTTCAACAATCATATTGTGCATTATAATACAAGCAGTCATGATATCATGCAGAGTTCATTTATCCCAAAAACGGGCTGGCCCCTTGATGATAGCAAATCGTGATTGGAGAACACCGAATGCCCGCTCAACATCTTTTCGACATGCTTCTTGCATCATTGCAAAATATTGTTTCTTTTTATCATCGGAATTAGAAATGGTTTGAACAAGTGTTGGCCATTTCGGATATATGCCATCAGCCAAATAATAACCGACATTATAATTTTTTTCTTGAATTGTGTAATGAGCAGGAGGAGCAATACCTTGTGATAGATTGTCGAACAAATTAGACGACTGCAATACATTAATATCGTTATTGGATCCTGGTAAGCCAAAGTATGCATTGCCATATCCATAGATCATATGATGCTACTGCCTCAAGAATAATGGTTGGACCTCCATGACGACCTGAGTATTGTCCTGCCCATGCTGTTGGACAATTTTTCCATTGCCAATGCATACAGTCTAGACTTCCTAACATTCCTGGAAAACCTCTTTCTTCGCCCTTTTGCAATAACCTTGCAACATCGTCGACATTGGGAGTCCTCAGATATTCATCTCCATATACTTCTACAATTGCTCTGCAAAATCTCTTTAAACATACAATTGCAGTTGACTCACCGATCCTAACATATTCGTCAGTACTATCTGCTGATGTTCCATACGCCAACATGCGAAATGCCGATGTAACTTTTTGTAAAGTTGATAGCCCAAGTTTGCCGACACCATCCATCTTCTGTACAAAGAAGTTGTCATGATCACGTACCGCCTCAACTATACGAAGGAATAAACTCCTGTGCATCCGGAACCTTCTACGGAATAGGTTTGCACCATATGTAGGGTTATCAGAAAAATAGTCATGGTAAAGTCGAGAATTACCTTCTTCCCTCCCGCGATTGATCACCAAATGACCAGGAACTGAGCCAATACGCTTTGGCCGCTCTGCCTCTTGAGAGAGATAAGTCATTATTTTACTATTAGAGGCATGTACGCGAGCTAAGAGTTCATCTTCCTTCTCCCATTGTGTCATATCTTCCTCCCAATCTTTAATGTACTGAGAAAATATTT